TCCATTACCTAATTCCTGCTTCCACGAGAAATTCCAAATCGCTTCGTATCATCCACCACTCTGCTAGATAACGTCGAGCTAACGCATACCAGCCCAGCACCTGTCCACGTATAGGCACCTGCCACCGATGGCTCGTAGCTCTTCGCTCTCGTAAGTTGCCTCCTCAGGTCTTCGTTGCGCTCGATGTAGTCTACGTGCACTCCACTGGTGTAGTCTATTCTTTTCTCCGTCGCTGGTTGTTCAGCCCGCGAGTCTCAAAGTCCACGTGTGTTTGATACTGATAAATCGAAAGACCGCGCAATCGAAAGTGAGAATCACCGTCCTCCATCGCTCGTCGTTTGCTCCTCATGCGTTCTCCGTCTGCTCGTGCTCAGCCACTCACTCACATTCGTGCCCCTCCGGGTTGTCACCCCGTTCTCATTGCGACCTTCTAGAACGCGACCTTCGTTCTGGACAACTTTCCGTCGGCCGTTGGTTTTCTCCGGCACCGGCCATCCACGGCCAAAGTCATTAACCTAAGCACATAAGCCGTCGTGAGCGTCACCCTCGTTACACGCCTTCTCCACCGTCAGAGTCGTCCTCGACTCTGCCTGAGTCGAACAAGCGGTTGTATTCCGCGATAGATACCCATCGTGTCTCAGCATCCTCGGCGTCGACATGTTCGTCGTGTTCGTCATGTGCACTTCGTGCAAGTCGTAACTTGTACTCAAGCACATAATACCCAGCTTTGTTTCTTCGGCTGCGTCTCTGTTGTGTAGTGATTTTTGCCGTAGCGCTAGTGCCGTTGATGCGGACACGGTTGTGACTGTGGACGCCTTTGGGAGAAATGTGTGTCCACACCAGGTTCACATTCAAAGTGTACCCATGACGAGTTGTCGTCGGCCCACCGAAGAGTGATTATCGATCGTTGAAGACCGCTGATCACTTATAAGAGGGTGTTGTGGAGCGCACAACATAGCCGCTGATACACCCGGTCAAGATCGGCACCTAGTGAGAATACTGTCTAACGGTTGGCCGAGTAGTCGTTGGCCGTTATTAGATCTCGTAGCTAGATCGCATTTATACTTGATATTTGTATACTACATAGTAGGAATTAGGATAAGAATTAACACCCAGAAGGGCGGAGAACAGAAAATAATTTGCTACCTGAAGTTAAAACTTGTAACGAGGTTACACAAAACACTAAGCGAAACGCTAACCGGTTAGAGTTAGAGGTTTCCCGTCTTGGTGCCGTCTTGGTGTGACCACATACCAAGACTGCATTTGAAGGGATCCTATTGGTAGAGTGCACCACACCTCTATCAATCAGCCATGCGGATCACTGTCAGTCACCCGCTGACAGTCCCTTAGATATTCAATAAACACTTTAGAGAGGAAGCCTCCTTAAAGCAACAATACAGTTCTCATGTTACGCTATCGCGCTCTTACCATGTCTACTCGTACACACGCACCGTGTGTACGCTAAGCAAGCCAAGAACATCTACGCTTCGCCCGAAACGTGCGCACACATGTCAGCCAACTAGTGAGCCCTAGGCCCACTACACCTGGTAGCACTTTGTAGCCCGTCCAACGACCGACTACTTTGTTCGTATGAGCTACGAACACGGACAAGAGAATCTTCCCATGGACTGGACGTTTGTCGGAAGCCTGAGCACGTCTGCTACGCATGTGGTGTGTACATACTGCCTCCATCTGGCTGACCCAGAGTGGGAGGTGCTCCAATGACTGTCGACAGTCATTCGAGAGACGGTCGTAGCGACAATGCTGCGCACGCTATCGCCGACAGAGCAACATGGTGTTACCCCGGGGTTCTTCATGAGAGAGTAAAGCAAGTTTGCTGCTGCGAAGCCGGTGTCTCCCGGGGAGACATCGCGGAAGGAATATCTGAAGTTACGTGTCAGTAACTACATGGGCAGAGAAGGAGGCCCTTCTCCGCTGGCTTGTCGAACTTGACTCTGCCGTTATGTCTCGACTTCTCGTCGACCCATCGGCGAAACTTGTCTTCGCCATGCCGTGTCTTGGCGGACGCACGAGGGGTTGGGCCTACGGGCGCCGACTCACTGATCCTACGTGCTTTAGCACGTACAAGCCCTTCGAGGAGAAGCTCAAACTCGCGTTTGAGCCCCCTCAGAACGAGTTCCGGTCGAGAGCGGAATTTCTCGATCTGCAGCAGGGTAAGCAAGATGTGCATGCTTACGCCTAATGGGCTCAGTACTTGGTCTCGAACGTCGTGATCGACCCGATGGACGAGGCGACCACGGTCGTCACGTTCATGACGGGGTTAGAGGATGGGTTGTGAAGACCTACCTTTTCCGAGAGTACCTGAACACTCTCGAGGTTGCGATTACCCTCGCCATACAAGAGGAGTTTAGCCTGAGACAAGATACACTGCACACGAACGTACCACGCCCGCCTCGACCGGCTGTCATGACAGAAGGTCATGAACCAATGGATCTTTCATATGCATATGCTGTCGGACAGCTGAAGAACAAGTGAATCAATGTGCGATGCTTCCGGTGCGGAAAAATGGGTCACTACGCACGTGAGTGTACGGCACCTGTACACTCAAACCAAGGTCGACGTTACTGGGTATCGTCACGGTCGAACAAAAACACGCAAAGGACCAGTAGGCGCGGGGTGCCCTACTGGTAATGCAGTCATGCGTGTCTACAATGGACACGCGGTATTGAGGGCTGGAGCCCCAGTGTGAGGGAATCTCACTGCAAGGTGCAAGATGACGTACCAAAACGTGTCATCTTAAAGGTGACGTCGATGACGAACAGAGCGGACTCTCTTCGGGTGTTGGTGAACTCGGGCACGTCGAACAACTCTGTTCGACAGCAATGTCTGCCGCTGTTGGACTTCGCGAAGAAGCATGTGCCTCGAAGTCAGTTGGAAGTACGATTGGCAACGGGTGCCACCATGAAGACCGAGAAGCGCGTAATTTGCGCACACTTCTCGTACAAACACCGGGTGTTTGTGGAAGAACTTCTCGTCCTGGCCTTGAACGACAAGTTCGACATGGTGTTGGTTATGCCGTGGCTTGCACGGCATGATCCTATTATCGACTGGGAGAAGCATACGGACGTACACTTCGGACGCCGCAGCGCAACAGAGAGCGATGGCTCTGTTCGTGCAGCAGATACACCTAACGGTGCATCCAAACCTCCTATAGAGAGAGTGGCTCGCACCGCTGTCTCCGGTCGTAGCGCGCGGGTTATAACGACTCCGGGAGTCGTTGACAGAAAGGAGTGTCTAGTCAGGGACCCGACACTACCAAGAAATCATCCGCCGTGAGGCGTTGAGGTGACAACAGCGTGTCGACTCCGGGAGTCGATCCAACAAGTTGTGTGAACGGTTGCAAACGTCCAGCATTGAATCTTGCGTGCTGTCGTGCAGCCGTGCTGTACGAAGCAGGGCGCGATCAAGTCGGGCTTGATGACGCGTGCCCGCGGGTACAAGAACCCACCGGCGATCGCCCACAGACTGGAATGCCTGCCGGTGATATCTAGGAACATTCGTCTTTGGACTGGCCTGGACGTAATGCAAGTGAATCCGGGACAAAAAGAAGCGACGGCGCAAGCACAGCACGCTGTGCAGGTCTCGGTCCGGTACCGAGACTCTTCAAGGTATGTCTACTGGGCAGACACAAGAGCCGACAGTGGCCGTCGAGACATTGAACGTATTGACACGTCGGAGTTGACCTCGCTTCCAGTCATGAGCTGTAAGTGCTTCGCAAAGGACCTGTACGATGGACGCATCGAACAGCTATGCATTCTTTCGGACCGCGAAAGAATGACAATCGAAGCAGAGGAGTCGATGCAACTCTTCGCTGGAAGCGCCACTGAGAGTGAAGATACTCTCAGTGCCAAGACGAAGACGGAACGATTCGAAGAGCAGAGTTGGGACTCACTGAAGTCGAGTCTCTATATCAAGGACAAGGGAATACAACACGAGCTTGATTTCGTACCGGGGACAAAATATTGCGTGACGCGGCAGTGGCCACTGCCGCGGGAGCAAGTGAAGGCGATCGACGACTTCTTCTAATGTCGTCGCAAGGCAGGACAAGTGCGGAAATCAAAGTCCCCGCACAGCGCACCGACGTTCTGGGTCAAGAAACCACAGGGTGGTTGGCGCATCGTTCACGCATACAACATTCGGAACGATGCGATGACCCCGGCACAAACACCGATACCTCGAAAAGATGTTATCATCGATTCGATGTCCCTCTCACAGCAGTAAGCACTCCAAGCGGTATCCTTTGGGAGTGGCTAGTTATGCCACAAGGACCGAATAACGCCGCTGCGACGTTCAACAGATGCGTGACGCATTTATTGAGCTCGGTGCGCGACTTCGCACCGAGCTACTTCGACGATGTGTACGTCCATAGCCGGGCTGTGAACGAGAAGACGGATATTGAGATGCACAAGGAGCATTCTCGGGAACTGCTTGGGCTCATGCGCAAGCACAAGGTCTATGCAAACCTGAAGAAGTGCATCTTCGGTACGAGCGAGATACATGGGAGTGTCTCGCTGGGAAGAATGGCATACGCCCTGATCCCGAAAAGGTCAGAGTGATTAGTGAATGGCCTACGCCATCCATCCAACGTGAAGGAACTGCGGCAGTTCCTTGGCCTTGCCACGTACTTGTGCAAGTACGTGGACAACTACGCAGGCAAGATTCGCCCGCTGTCGCAGCTTCTGAAGAAGGAAGCTGCATGGAAGTGGAGTGCTGAGTGTCAGCTGGCGTTCGATGCAGTCAAGCAGCGCTTGACTGAAGCGTCGATCTTGGCCGTGGCTGACCAATATCGTCCTTTTCACGTAGTGTGTGACGCATCCGATTTTGCGATCGGATGTGCGTTAATGCAACTCGATCGCGAGGGTCGGGATCGAGTCCTCTACTACCAGTCGCGTCAGCTAAAGCCAGCTGAGCAAAACAATCGGGTACATGACAAGGAACTCCTTGCCATGAAGTATGCACTCGCGAAGTTCCGATGTGTACTTACTCGGCAACACGCCGTTCGTGGTCTATACGGACCACGCGTCGTTGCGGACGGCTGTGAAGTCTCCGCACATCTCGCAACGAATGGCGAGATGGTTGTCCTTCTTCGCGGAGTACAACTTCCGGGTCGAGTATAAACCCGGAAGATTGAATGTCGTCACGGACGCATTGTCGCGACGACCGGATTATGCAGTCAAGACAGTCGCCGTCAACCGGATTGACCTCGCCCGGACATATACACCGTCGTCGTCCTTGATGGACGAGGTTAAGGCCGCGTTTGCGCATGACACCGATGTGAAGCAGCTGATCGAGTTCCTCTCAGTTTCTTTCGACCAAGCACGTCGGAAATCGGCCCCTTGTTTACGAGTGAGTGCACACCGGTATCGTGTGCCCGACGGTTTACTGTTTTACTGCGCCGTTAACGGCAATGCGGACCGCATTGTCTGCCGAATGATCATGATCTGCGCGGAAGGATCATGTACGAGTATCATGATGTCTCCACGGCGGGACATCCTGGACGTGAGAAGACGTATTCTCTTCTCACTAGAGACCTCTACTGGAACCACCCGTACAAGTGGATGCGCAAGTACGTACGTACTTGCGATGTTTGCCAGCAAGTGAAACCTGCACCTCACTCACAGGATCCTCTGCAACCACTGCCGGCTCCGTCGGAATGTTGGGAGTCCGTTTCGATGGACTTTGTGCTTGGTCTTCCGCGCGATTCCAGGCGGAAGGCTGGTATCGTGGTCTTTGTTGAATGTTTCAGCAAGATGATGCATCTCGCTGCTGTCGCAGCGGAGATGACCTCCGTACAGACGGCACGTCTGTTCGTCGACATGGTGTTAAAGCACCATGGCATGCGCAGCGACTTTGTGTCGGACCGCGATCCGTGCTTTACGGTGCGTTTCTGGCAAGAAGTGTTCACACTTTATGGAACGCAGTTCTCAATGTCGACTGCGGATCATCCGCAGACGGACGGGCAAACCGAGCGCATGAACCACGTGCTCGTGGACTTGCTGAAGAGCTACACCCAGTCGTTTCACAACTGGAGTGATTACTTGCCGATGGCCGAGTTCGCCATCAACAACGCGGTGCATGCCTCGACTGGACATACACCGTTCTTCGTGAACGCCATGCGGCATCCACCCCTTCCGAGCACGCTCGGGGCGGTGGCTTCCTCCTTAACTGGGGGAGGATCTACGGTTGCGTCCGAACAACCGCAGAAGACAGCTGATACGGAATTTGCAGCTGCGATGATACGTGCGAGAGCGAGAGCCCGCACACGACAAAGCGACGTGTCAGTGCCGGGCACTGACACTGTGAAGAACCACGAGCAAGCGACACCTGCTCCGACCAAGGACAACGTGTCTGTGCGGGGCACAGACACCGCGAAGTCTCACGCACCGGCCGGGCCTGTTGCACGCACAAGTGATGTATCGATGCCGG